ATGGAGACCAGTGAAGCCCCAACAAATGTCAATGTTATTATTTGTTGTATTTGTCTGGCACTACTTAACATTAATTGTCTCACCAGTTTTGACAGGTTTTTTTCACAGCCCTAATCGTTTATGGAGCCACCATTGTATTTTACTGAAAAATGTATTTGCAGTCTTCATATTTTTATCTTGGCTGGTTAGTATAATATTGAAAAGTAAGAGGCTTTATATGTGCAGAGGCTGATTAGACATTTTACAATTCTTGATTTGTGTTGTTTGGCCTGTCTAATAAAGACATGCAGGCATCAGTGTGTTAAAACTAACTAAATTTGTGTCAGCACTTCACTGCATGGATAAAACGTTGACTAAAAACTACTAACCTACTATGTTCCAAGCTACAAAACTTACTTAATGCTGAAAATATTTTGTGTTTCATTGTCTTGATGGACAGCATAGAAACATGGCATGTAAAAGCTCCCAAAAAACAAAACCATGACCTGTTCTCTGCTTTGATGCTTCAGTTATTGTTTGAATGAACAAAAAAATGTTGGGACCAATGAAACATGAGATGACTCTAACACAATGGGTCTGCTTAGTAACAGTGCTGCAGGTTGCACCCCAGGCCTGGCAGCAGAGTCACTTTCTAACCTTCAGTTATTACCTGATAACTGATCTGACAAGGACACAACCACTCCTGTCATCTCCCTTCAGTATTAATTCCCCATTCCCTCTGTTTTTCTCCTCCTCTTTTATCTGTTGTGTACCTTCTTTTTTAACACACCTTGGTTTCTACATCAACAATCCCTCAACGTTGACATCGTGCTTTCTCTGCTCCTGTTTTTTCTGATGAAACCTCCATAAATAGTCTATGGAAAAAAGATCCTCTATGTCACTGATGTTAAAGATATTTTCTGGGGGCCTGAATTGTCCTGTGTTATTAGGTGTCATTCAAAGTTTTTACTTTAAGGGCCGTGAATTATGACAGTAGAAACTTTTGTCATTGTACTTTTGTATTCTCTCTCCATGTACAGGCCTGTTAGTATTTCCAAATAATTTACTTCTGAAATGTGTATTATAGAGAGAGTTGTCACTCTGAATTAAGTTTGATTTTGAATTTACAATAATGTTGCCACATTAGAATTAGAAATGTGTTAAAGACCCCCAAAGACAAACTAAAAATGTTGTTTCTTTCATCAATTTTGAATGATGGAACAATTTAATGCCATCCATCCATCCATCTTCAACCGCTTATCCGGGGCCGGGTCGCGGGGGCAACAGTCTGAGCAGGGACACCCAGACTTCCCTCTCCCTCGACACTTCCTCTAGCTCTTCTGGGGGGCCCCCAGGGCGTTCCCAGGCCAGCCGAGCAACGTAGTCGCTCCAGCGTGTCCTAGGTCTTCCCCTAGGTCTCTTC